GCCACGTAGAATTAAGGCAGTTCTGAAGGCGAAAGGGGGTCAAACACCGTATTAGTATGGTGTTCCTAATAATCCTTTAGGTGAGTGTATATAGCATGATTATTAATATTGGCCACTAGCTATAAACCATGTACCCACCTCCCTGGCAAGGAAAACACAACAGCGCCTCCACTTTCTCCATCACCTGAGAAGAGTAAGCCTTCCTCCCCCAGTCCTAATGACATTCTATGGGGGCATAATAGGGTACATCCTGACCAGATACATCACTCTCTGGTATGGGAGCTACAAAACCTCAAAACTCAGTTCCCTGCAGAGAGTAGTGAGGACATCATCACAACCTCTCTACCATCCATCCATCCATCCATCCATCCAAGAAATCTACAAAAAGCTGCATCTGCAAGGCCACAAGCATTCTCCATGACCCCTTTCGCCCCTCCTATGTGCTCTTCAACCAGAACCCATCTGTAAGGAGACTCCAGAGTATTTGGAATAGCTTCTTTCCCAATGTCATCAGATTCCCCAACAAACTTCCCCCTCAGCACTCCTGCTTGGAATTCTATTCAACAACTTAAATTCACAACTGTTTAATAAACCATCTGCATTAGTCATTTTATGCATCACTTGCACATAACAAACAGAACTGCCCTACACTGTACTTTATACAGTATTTAAACCATTTTTCACTTTGCTATACATGTGTAAAGTCATTTTTAAAGTTTTGCTATTTGATTTCACCACATGCATGTATATATTGCAATACTGAAATGACGATAATGTTTGACTTGATTTACTTTTGTCCAAAGTGATGTACAAGTGAAGCAAAAAGCAAGTGGATCAGGCCTAAGTGCAGCTAGATTAGGCCTAAATGCATCTAAACTGAACATCCACTGAATGCCCAGGTGAAGGTGTAAGCAATACTGGAGCTTACTGGAGCTTGATCTTTCAAACAAAGCACGAAAAAAATGAGACTACTATTCAAATCAGCAAAGTGCAACACTAATAGCATTCGGTTAACACGGTGTAATGCAGGCTAATAAAGGTGTTCCTGGAACAAATGGTTCTTGAGGCACTTCTTCAACACCTCAGATAACAGGAAAGCGGACAATGTGACACTTGTGACATACTGTATATAACATACAATATAAGTTTTGCATTATAACTTGACAATGAAAGTACACACTGATGCCGCAATAAACCAGAATCGCATCGGCTTTCAACGTTTCTGCAGATTAAAATGCAACTTCGGGGAAGCTTACTCGTCCGGACGAGAACAAATGACGGCCGGTTTCCCATTACCACCCTGTGTAAACAAGAAGATCATTATCAGAACGACTGGCGTGCTTTCTCTGAAATACGATCCCTTACGAAAATTAACCATGGTTTTACTATGATTAAATAAACATGGTTTACAATGGTTTGCCGTTTTTCATGGTTTTTTGGGTAACTATGGAAACCATGACTATGGTTTTATCACGGTTTCGCTACAGATAAACCCTAGTATAATCTTGGTCATAAACCATGGTTTTTGTTTTACCATGGTCTTTCCAAACCATGGTAGTACTATGGATAGTACCAAAGTACTGTACCATGAAGTACCATAGTAAAAACTATGGTTACTGCATAAAAACCATAGGAAACCATAGTGAATTTTCATAAGGGATTGTTATGCATCCCTTAACGTCCTAACGTTCGACCGCATAAACCTTTAGGTCTCCCAGAAGGTTAAAATAGAGTTAATAAATCCTGATTAGATAACGGAACATAATGCACCATGTGTAGCCCGTGTAAACACAGCGACTGCTCTCACGGCGCTATACATATCTACCTTATAATACACATAATAATGGTCAGCGATTATAAACATCTGAGTTACTCATTTAAGTATTTACTGTTATTCTTATCATTATTTTTATGTATACTCTCCCTCTCTTATATTAAGTATCTTCCCTATTTAGGCAGCACAGGTACAGTATAGGTGCAGCCGTTTAGGTTTGTAAAGTCTACATGATGTTTGCATAACATCCAAATCGCGTAAGGACTTATTGGACAGAACGTAATCCGGACGCTAAGCGAAGCATACCTGTAATAACACAGTATTATAAAAATTTAATCACACAGAAAATACTTGATAGTTCATTAGCGCTTTAATGGTGTTTTAGGCCGCCGACCAGTTTGCGCTGGTTTACCGTTTTCCTCGGAGATATCGACTCTCGTCTTGAAGTGACTGATATTTTTTTTAAATCCATATCTGTTAGATTTCCCTGTGTCGTGAAATGAACTTGTTTCTCGATCGGAGTTGTCCTTGGCCCCGCCTCTGAAGCCTGTTGCTATAGTTTCACAAACACTGTACAATAGACTGGCTTCCATCAGCAGTACCATTGTTTCCGCTGGTAACATTTTCCCGTGGAGGTCCGCCAGGCCAAAAAAAAAACACGTAAATCCTGCAAATCAGTCCTGACGACCCCGCTGCTAGTGCACGCCTTATATTATATTGCCATTTTGAAAATGCTCTTAAGTTCTAATAAAAATAGCTTACTTAGGTATTGTCCAAGGAAAAGTAAAACAGACGAGGTAGGTATACAGGGCAGGCATTTAGTTGGGGGGTTGGGGGGGCGACGCATCTCTCTCTCCTCGTTCTCTTGTACCCCATTCACAAACACACTGAAATCCGCGTATTAATCGCTATTTTAACGTTATGGTTGTTAGAAGTGGCAGGCTCTGACACACGTGGTTTACTACTTGCCTTAGTTTAATAGAACTCTCGCTCACAGGCATTCAGCGGAAAGTTCTGCTTTTCAACAGTACTAGAACTTTCTGTAGGACCCCTCCAAGCCCACCAGTGCCATCAACTTGCCACTACTTTCAAGAGGTTTATTCGTCACATACACATGTAGTGAAATGTAACCCTGGTCACTCCGAGCAGCTGTTCATAACAGAGTAACAAAATATAGAAAAAATAAAGAAAAATAATAAGAAAAAAAATATATGAAATGTTTAGCTGTATATAATTTATACATGTGATAGGTAAAATGTATTGTGCTGTGCAATATAAGTGCAATGTCCAAGAGGCCCTTTGATATGTACAGTGAGGGAAATAATTATTTAACCTCCTGCTGAATTCTTAAGTTGACCCATTAATTAATTAATTAAGTTTGTAATTTCACAGGTAGGTTTATTTCAACAGTAAAAGATAGATTATTAACAAAACAAGCAAGTAAACATTATTCTTGGGTCACTAACCTGTCAACATCTTCAACCTTACCACCATGGGAAATACCAAAGAGCTGTCTAAGGAAATCAGAGACAAGATAGTTGACCTTCACAAAGGTGGAATGGGCTACATGACCATCAGCAAGCAGCTTGGTGAGAAAGTGACAACTGTTGGTGCAATTATTCACATATGGAAGGCACAGGCTCCATATATTTGATCATGTGATCTTAAGAATAAGCAATGCAATCATAATGAAATCTGGCAGGAAGTTTTGTTGCAGTTGTAGTTCTGGTGGATTTTATGGTTGCCGAAGCTAGGACAGGGTTTCCAATCCAAACAGGGCTTGGGTGATCCTCTTGATGGGTAGTGGTGGCCTAATGGCTAGGGAAGTGCACTTGTAATTGAAAGATTGTGGGTTCAAATCCCCAACCAGTAAGATACTACTGAAATAACCTGAGCAAAGTACTACCCCCAAGCAGTGCTCCCCAGCTGCTGCCCCTTGCTATGTCATGATATCACATATGGCTTAAATGCAGAGGACACATTTTGCTGTGGTGTGTCAACACTGATCGCCTAATTCTAGATCTTGAACAGGTACAGGAATTCCCAATAATGAACCTATTGTGAACGTGTGTTTATTTCTTTAATTTTTTCGCAAAAAGAGTCTTTTGTGTCTTGTGAAAGGACAGGAGGAAGTGTCATGCCCCGATCGTATGAGGGGCCGTTTGGGACTTCAGAAATACCATGCATATACATATATGAAACCAAGCATAAACATATATGAAACCAAAATCCTTCACATAGTACACTGAAAATTGCACACACTTATGGTAGAAAAATTATAAATCCTGTCATATAACAACCAATGAAGCCTCTTAGAATAAAACCCTGGACCTCTCAGTTTGTGAACAAAGTTATCTCTTTTATTCCAGCAATCAAACAACAACAACAAACAAATTTATTTTTGTATAGCGCATTATCACAACATTACATTGTCCCAAAGCGCTTTACAGCATCCCCACCCAAAGCCCCCAGTGAGTAAGCCATAGGCGACGTGGCAAGGAAAAACTCCCTAGAAGGAAGAAACCTTGGGAGGGACCAGACTCAAAGGGGGAGCCCATCCTCCAGGGGCCGGCAGGGAGAGTCAAATACAGTTAAATCTGAAACACAAACGGGGAGCAGGGGGGAGATGACAAGCCGGTGCCAACGCTCCCTCCAATCGCCAGGCAGCCAGAAGACAGGGAGCGTTTCATACAAGGAAGATGACACAGGCAGAACGGTGAGCTGGATGCACGGACCTCATTGGTAGTGGCGACATCACATGTTGCAGGGTGTGCTGGATATATTGATAGATTGAGGTCTCCAGGCAGCTCCCACCAGGAGAAGTAGGGGAAATAATTATAATAATCCAGCAAAGCGCTCCCATCACACTCTAGCACCAGGTACCCTGAGCACATGGATCACCCAGTTCACAAACCATAATTCTCAATTCCAGATAAGGACTTCTAAGTCCTGATTGGTCACAAAACAGTAACAAACCAGGCTAAAACATATTACAAACACAATTCTCTCGCTCTATTGATGCACCTTGGCAGCAAGGTAAAATCCACCCATTTTGCTCAATTTACCAGAACATGTCTCGACTGCCAGGCTCCTACTTGAGATATGAATATAGATATTGATTATATGACATTGAATCACTGTAAATATTTGGTTGTCCTTTGATTAATGATTGACATATTGCCGTTGAATCACTGCAAATACATGGTTAACATATGATTAACGTAACAATTACTTATACTTTTGCACTACCGCATAACACATTGTGTATGGCCTACTGTGACTACTTTATAACTACAACTCTTTATGCACCAGTTGGGGCAGCTTCGAGTGTCTCCCTGCAGGTGGTTTCTCCCCCCCCCCCCCCATTGCTCCGCTGTTCATCTCTCCAAGGTCTGATCTCTCTTCAGTGTCTGTGGAAATAACCGCAGGCAGCTATCATGAGGTGAGGACACACAGTATTCAAAACAATCTCTTCTCACCTAAGGCCTAAGACATAACAGACCTACTATGCCTCCCCTCCCTGGCCTACCAATGTCCAATTTTCTTTCCACACGCTTACAAGTGAAAGCATTTACATATACTACTGAAAGACTCTTGTGGAAGTAAAATTGGACATTAGTAGGCCTGGGAGGGGAGGCATATTGGGTCTGTTATGTCTTAGGCCTTAGGCCAGAAGAGATTGTTTTGAATACTATGTGACCTCACTTTGTGATAGCTGCCTGCAGTTGGCTCCGCAGAAGCTCGGACCTTGGAGAGGCAGACAGTGGAGCAAAGGGGGGGAGAAACCACTTGCAGGAAGAGACTCGAAGCCACCCCAACTGGTGCACAAAGAGTTATAGCTTATTGAAGTAGTTGTAGTAGTCAATATATAATATGTTACACAATTGATCACATTATGTTAATCATACTAATCATGTGTTAGCCATGTATTTTCAATGATTCAGTAGAGCCTGATGGGACCAGATCCAAATGAGATTAAGAATTGACCCAGTCCCTCGTCGAGGAACAACGGAGATCACGCTGTCCCAGACCTGAACATTCCTGAGACTGATTTGGCCGGACCTGTTTTGGTGAGATGAAGACTTCTCTGTTTATTCATTCTTGCTGCTGCTTTGCTTGTTGCTGAAGGTTATGTGTTTGGTAGTGTCTGAGTGTGTTATGTGAAAGTCTGCCGTGACTGAGGGGATCCAAGCACGGGGAAGCGCTGACCACGGTTAGGAAGGCCGGTGGGAGAGCGCTCATCCACCTGTGATAGGGAAAGGGTGCTGTCCAAGTGGAGACCTGAGTGACCTATTACGTGGAAGAGGTGGATGCACGGACCTTGGGAAAGTCCGTAAATTTTTGTGGCGCCACTGTATATTGTGCGACGGGGCACAAGGAAGGCGGCAGGAAAGCCGTCACCCGCAGGGGGTCCAGACACGACGGTGATAAGGCTTGGTGCAGCAGGGGCGGAGGGCAGGGCGGTGTGTGCTCTGCCTGGTGCGGCATTGTTGGTAAAGGCTGGACAGTGAATGCATTGCATGCGGTAGCACAGCACTGCGTAACAGGCCAAGGACGGGTAAGATTCCTGTGTGAGGACAGGAACAACCTAAGACAGGCGCTGTCAGAGACCCCTGGCACTGGGCTGAGGCACTGTTCGGGGTTTGGCCCACTCTCGGTCCCACGGGAGTATAAAGGTGTATGTTGATAGGGTGTGTGGGTTTTGGAGAATGTGTATGTGGTAAAGGGTGTGGGGTCTCCCAGGTGCAGTATCCTTTTTGTTTATAGGACATTAAATGTTTGGAATAACACTTAGTTCTTTATGGTTCTTTCGTCACCCGGTAACAAGGTGTCTTGTTTAGTTTAGTGACCACTCAGCAGCTGCATGCTTTGTACAGACAGCAGCTGCCTTGAGAAGGGGAGTTTGTAGGATATCAGGGTCAGAACAGATATTGTATAGGTCCTGTGTTCAACACCATTTGTTAAAGCATAGACAATGAGGAAATGTAGTAAAGGGGATAAGGGAAAACCATCCCCAAGGCAGATAATGGAACGGGTGACTGGCCTGAGACTAAAGAAGGCTTGTAACACATCGTCAGACTGGGGGTAGATGGCCAAAGGAGGGCACTCTAAACATACTGGAAATAGAATGTTGTGAAACAATGCTGGAAAGCAGGGGAAATTGTTGTTGTGTAAGGGAATGTGCAGGCCAGAATATTACTATCAGCGGTAGTCTGTGGCCTTGAAGAGAGATAGGAAAGCTAGAGTGGAGCAGCAGAGAGGTAAAGTTAGCAGAGAGGAAAAGGGGGCTGATCTGACTGCTGCTGTTTCTCCGCCTGAAGCTGGTGCTGAGGAGAGGAAAAAGCCTAATTCAGATATCTGGTCCTGCCTGAAGTGTCTCCTCCACCACTGTCACCTGCACCTCGTCCTCCTGCCTATGTTCCTCCTCCTTTGGGGAGAGCTGAGCCTTCTGCCCCTGATGCTGAATAAGGGGGGCAGTGGGACTGATGCCACAGCCTTCTGTGAAACAGGAAGAGTTTCTCCACACCAAGGATGAAGGTGGAAATGGGGGAAGACGGTTTCACAGTGACCTCAGAGGCTTTGGGACTGTTTTGCTTATCCGAGAAAGATAACTTTGCCACTTGGTGGTTAGTGGATGACACAATCCTGAGAGACTGTATCCCTGAAGGACAAGAGCAGCCTGGCAGATTGCATTGCACTGCTCAGTTTTCTGGACAAGGAGGATTTTGAGACTGTTGTGCTTGATTACCTC